GTTGTGTGTGTGTGTGTGTGTGTGTGTGTGTGTGTGTGTGTGTGTGTGTGTGTGTGTAGAACTAAGAAAGGAAGGAGGGGCTTAAAGAAATAGGTCTAAACATCACTAATCTTATCGCGCTCCAGTTTTCCTCGTCGACACAAGTAACCATGAAAGCAGCCAGACTTTACCTAAAAATGTTCTTAACCTTTCAATTTCAAGAGAACAAGAAAAGACAACAAAAGTTCAAGTTGTTGAGCCATTCCCCTACTTACCAAAATATTTTTAAAAAACAAAACAAAATTTCTGCACTCGATGGTGCAAAAAAGCTACTGGAAATACGCAGACTGATCGTCCTGTTCCACTTTATGAAAGACCGTTATCTCACAAGGACTTCGGTAAAAGAAAAAAAAGGGGGGAAAGGCATATACATTTTTAAAAATAAAGGGCATAAAATACACTGACATCCTATTTAGTTCTATAAAAGCGCAGCGCGTGCAGTTTGAAACCGTGCAGACTGTCAGGATAAATTTGGTGACAGCAAGCAACATGAAATTTTTATTACTCGTCGTTGCTGTCGTGGCCTCTGGTAAGCGTGAAAGAAAGCGAGGGAAATCTTAGCATTTAAGATATTTTAAGTGTCTGAAGTGCTCATTCACGGGTTAACAAACTAAAGAATAGAGACATCTGGTTGTGCTAAACCACACACACGCGTGCACCCGCGCGCGCATACACACACACACACACACACACACACACACACACGCGCGCGCGCGCGCGCGCGCGTGCTCGCGTACACACTCATGCACACACACGCACAGACAGAGAGAGAGAGAGTGAGTGAGAGAGAGAGAGAGAGAGAGAGAGAGAGAGAGAGAGAGAGAGAGAGAGAGAGAGAGAGAGAGAGAGAGCTTCTATAGAACGACATTAAAGAAACAGAAACTCTTCTTTAGTCTATGAGCCTCTGTATTTTAATGTAGGTGTAAACTTGCAATAGTGCGTATCACCTCCAGGTACAACACAGCCTTTTGCACTTTACATGTCAAATATAAAGGGTTTTTTTTTCTAATAACGGTGCAAAATTACCGCACCAAACTTTGTTTGCAGTTTTTGTACATGATAAGCATCTCGAACAATAATTATATTGGCACTAGAAACATGTTTATCGGCATTCATTCGTTTGTGACGTCTTGATCTATGAGAATTGAATTGTCGTAAAGCCGCATCGGCAAGCAGACTTGTCCTTTATATTATGAACTTCATAAAGAACTTCTTAAAGGATAGAATTCTTGAAGTCTTCAGATTTTTCAAAAGATCAAACAGAATACATATGCCTACCTTTTTTTATTGCTTGCATAGTTTCTAGGCAGTTTCCATTGTGCTCTTTTTCTGCTAAACTTAACTGAATTTGCTAGTTATTGAGCTCAAAGCTTCCTTTGAGGACCTGCATTGTTTTGTGCTTCTTCTTTTACGATTTTTTGCGTCCCAATGGACAAGATTTAAAATCATTTAGGAGGCAGGCTCTGAGAAGAATACAACGTCCCAGCAGAAAGACAGAGATATTAATTTATATCGAATTCTCCGCACACGGGAGTCACCAACGTACTAACTAGTGCACCACAGACGCTGGGCAATTTTTCTTTGAGTTGTGCAGTTTTATTACAAACTGTTCTTTCCAAATATTTCCATCTCTGCTTTAAGAAGAAAAAAAAGATTGGCACCGGTCTTGGACGATGGAAGTAGCTCTGTTGACAAACCTTCTATGCCCCTTTGCTTTGTATATATAATATAATATGTAGTATCTTTCTATTCAGTTGCAGCAGCCACTGAACTTCTTCTTAACCATGATCAGCTTCTCATATTTTTTCCCGTTGTAATTCGTTTTCACACAACTATTAACTCCGTAGTTCAAACCCTAAATATTTTTAAAGCATTTAAATGCCTCCAGGATCAACCCCCTTCCACCTGAATTAAGGCCAAGCAGCGGTTCATGTTCTTAGCAGTACATTGTAGAAAGTTTCGACAAATCTCCATTTGATGTGGCTTGATACGACTGAGGATGACAAGGTCTTCCTTCATGGAGGGGCAAAAACAACTTCGTGGGGAAATGTTTATCCAACCCTCCAAAATCAAACTTGTCTGGTTTCTGGGTCATGATTTGCTAAGTATCAGGA